ATTTTATTTATTATTTTTTAAAAAGATTATTTATTTATACAAGCGCTGGGTACTGTCAGAAGCGCAGGAGGGTGAGAGAATTCACCAGAGCAGGGAACAGAACAGGCAGACTGATGAAATACACTGCTGAGGGGAGCAGCAGGCATGGCAGGAGAGGTCTGCGCACCATGTGGGACCCTCGCTGGCAGCCGGGGATCGAACCAGCACTGCAGAGGCTGCGGGCAGCTTTGCAGTCCAGCGCTCAACTGCTGCGCCACCAGGGGAGGCCCTAAAGTTTTATTTTATTTATTTATACATACAAGAGCTGGGGTATAGGCCAGAGTTGGGGAAAGGGGGGTGAGAGGATTCACCAGAGACAGTGGGGAACAGAACTGGTGGATTGACTGAAATACATTGCTAAGGGGAGCAGCAGGCCAGACAGGTTGCTGCAGTAGCTGCTGACAGCTTCATAGTGCTGAGATTAAACCCCTTGAGACACCAGGGAGGCCCTCAATTAGTACTTTAATCTGCCTGAGTTAATTGATTTCTCACTGGGTTATACTGGTCTCAGCCAAAAGCAAAGTAACATTGCTCTAGTTATCCTGGATTGCTTTCTTTGTGTGATAAATGTGTCATTGCCTATTTTATTTATTGAATAAAGTACTTGCTTATCCTCAGGAGTCTAGGGGGTCCACCCTCACCCTCATTAAGAACAGTTCTTGCCCTTATTGTTGAATGGAAGGTATAAAGCTGCTGACGGTAAAGAGGCTTATTGGCTTCCACCCAGCATATGTTGTTCTCTTGATTGTCTGTGTGAAGAGCACTTGTATCCTATTACTTAGAATAATAGGTTGTGTTATAAACTGATACATCCATTTTCTGCTCCACATACTTCTCACTAGATTTTAGGGACTCAAAGAGAAAACACTGCATAGTTCCTGTCTTTGAGAAGCTTTTGCTTAGTGTGAGAGGCAGATAGTAGTGCTCCGAGAATGGCAGGATGCGTAGAACTCAGAGGGACCACAGATGGGAGATGGTGGTCAAAGGGACTTTAGCAGAGAAGTTGAGTTTGAGGTAACCTTGTTTTTACAGGATTGGCTGTTCAATCTCATTGTTCTTATTTTGAAATGTTATTACTAAGAATACTTGTAGTAGAATCCATTTCTGCTATTGGGGAATTATATGATTTGATTATATCATATGCCAGTTAAATCACCTACCTAGAGGCTTTCTTGGTGGTGCAAGGGGTTAGGCACCGCTCTATGAAGCAATACGCAGCCTCTGCAGCATGAGTTTGATCCCTGGCTGGCTGGGGAGCGGCCCACATGGCGCGGCAGACTTCTCTTATCTCGCCCCCTGCTCCCCTCAGCAGTGTATTTCAGTCAGTGCGCCTGTTCTGTTTCCCACTTTGTCTCTGGTGAGTCCTCTCACCGCCCCCACACCTCTGGCATGCATAAATGTAGTGGCAGGAATAGACACAGTGCAGGTTTTCTATGATCCAGCAGACAGGGTAAAGGAGGAGTCAGAGTCCTCAGTGGCTTTTGCAGGTCTTTTATTGGGGTTTACCACGTACACAGCAAGTAGGGGTACTGGGGGGCTGGGAGGCTGCTTCTGCTGGCGTCCCCGTGACGTCGCCCTTAAAAGCCCAGTCTTAGCCTGGGTGAATCCCATCTACCTATGCCCACACCCTACTCCAGGTGCCCGCCATCAGGCATGCATTCAGGACAACAGGGTTCCGTCATCCTAATGGCGGGAGGGCAGAAAAGCCTGACATCTTTTACCTACCCTACAATAAATAAATAAAATCTTTAAAAAGAATCACCCCCCTATATATTTTTTCTCTTTTGAAAAATTAGGGTGTAGGGTAAGGTAAAAAGTATCAGGCTTTTCTGCCCTCCTGCCATTAGGATAGATGATGGAACCCTGTGGTCCCGAATGCATGCCTCATGGCGGGCACCTGGAGTAGAGTGTGGGCATATGTAGATGGGATTCACCTGGGCTGAGACTGGGCTTTTAAGGGCGGCATCGCAGGGACGCCAGCAGAAGCTGAGAGAAGAAGCAGCAGAAGCAGAACCATGAGAGCAGAGCAGCAGAGATCACCAGAGAGCCCAGAAAGAGTGAAGACCCCTACCTGCCATGTATCCGGTAAATCCCAATAAAAGCCTGCAAAAGCCACCAAGGTCTCCAGGACTCTGACTCCTCCTTTGCCCTGGTCTACTGGATCATAGAAAACCTGCACTGTGTCCATTCCTGCCCCTACATAGGGTAATACTGCTCTACTAACATTATAAAGGTTGAATAAGAAAATGTAAACAACTTTAGTGGCACAGGACCTGGTAGGTACATAATAGGTGCTCATTAAGTTAAAGCTGTTGTTATTACAGCTGTACCTGCTTCTGCTGTGACTCTTGCTTTAAAAAGTGAGTTGGGTTAGCCTGATAAAGGGCAGAGGATAAACAGCTTTTGGAGACAGGAAAAAAGTATAAAGGAAGATATGGTGACTAGACAAATATTTTGGGAATAATAAAAAATAGTAACTACCTTAAAGATTATGTTGAGATTAAAATGCATAATAGTAAAGCATGGAATCACTCATGAGTCATGGTTTTTATACATTATATGTTATGCCTCTAGAGTCATCTTGGTTCATTTGCATCTTTTGAACTCTTGTTTTTTCCCTCTGATTTCTTTTTTACTTCCTGAACTCTTACTTTGAGGGCATTCCTCAGAGTTTAGTTGTTTTCACCTCTGTAATCTTTTCTGCTGTCCTCTGTTAGTATTAATGTAAATGACTTTCAGATTTATCTGTTGCCCTGACCTCTTTCCTAGATTCCTTTTAACTGAACCTTACTAGTCTCCTAAAATTTCCACTGACATGTTCATCTACTGTTGCCTAATTCTGTTTCTCTTGCTTGATATTAGGGAAAAGTAGAAGGAAAATAATCTAGATTTGTCAGTTAGTAAAACACTGCCTTAGAGTAAACCTTGTACTATCTTAATAATGACCTACCTAAACTTTGATCATATTTATCACTCCTAACTTCTTAGTTCTTTACACTTTGCAACTTTCCTGTGTATCCTTTCCTTTTATCTCATTTCCCTGTTGCCAACTTAAATTATTTTTTAAATAGTTAATGATGTTTGTAGTTTGTATCTCACCCAGATCCACATTTGGCCCTGTCATTATCTGTGTGGTCTTGGGCAGGTTAGTGTATGAGACAAAGAAAAGCTCTAGCATCCTAGAGCTGAGCTGTTGTTGCTATCAGCCAGACCTGGTGTTGCTGTGAACTAGCCTGACACTTACCATCTGGCTTGTCTTAAGTGTTTTTCTGTTGAATATAATTTCACTGAACATCAGCATCAGACAAGGCCATTCTGTGACCATGATGGAACAAGATAAGAACAACACCACACCATAATCATGCCTGAACTCAGATGAACAGCAACATTGTCCAAGTCACAAAATAGCCCACATTCCCCTCTCCAGGTGAATGATTACTGGTGATTATTAATTGCAGTGTTAGCCTCTCTCCTTCTCTGAAGAGATTTATTTATCTGTCCACTCAGAATGGACCCTACTTTCTCTTGGCTCCCAAGCCAGAGTGGACATGTGCTGATTTGGACTCCCTTAAAATCACCTTGACAAGTCCCTAAACCTAAGTAACTCATTTTTAGTATACATTTATTGAGACACCCACAGTTTCCTTGGTATGTGCTCCTAATAAACTAGCTTATTCAACAACAGATATGTTCCTGGTGTGTGGGTGAAGACAATAACTGCTTTGAGTCTTATTTTTTTCTTATATGAGCCAGGAGTAATAACATCTTTTTTGCAGAGTTATAAGATTTTAAAATGAGAGACCCCAAAGCACCCAGAAGAATCTTTGTGCTTAGTAGATATTCAGCTAAAGCTTGTTTCTTGTCTTTTAGTAGTCTGTTCATTCATAGTCCCCTGAACAAGACTTAAAAAGATTTTTTTAGAAGTTCTTTTTACCCCCATGGGGTGCTGTGTTCTCATCCTTTAAGACTTGGTTCCAGGCCTCCCTGGTGGTGCAAGGGGTTAAGAAGCAACCTATGAAGCTATCCGCAGCCACTGCAGCACGAGTTCAATCTCCGGCCAGCCAGGGGGCTAACCACATGGTGCTGAAGACCTCTCCTGACTTGCCCGCTGCTCCCCTCAGCAGTGTATTTCAGTCAGTCTGCCTGTTCTGTTCCCCACTCTGTCTCTGGCAAATCATCTCACACCCCTGCACCTCTGGCCTGTGCCCCAGTTCTTGTATGCATAAATAAATAAATCTTAAAAAAAAAAGACTTGGGGGGCCTCCCTGGTGGTGCAAGGGGTTAATAACCGAGCTATGAAGCAATCCACAGTCTCTGCAGCACAAGTTCAGTCCCCAGCTGGCCACCGAGAAATCCACATGGCGAGGCAGACTTTTGTCTCTCCTGCTCCCCTCAGCAGTGTATTTTCAGTCAATCTGCCTGTTCTGAACCCCACTCTGTCTCTGGTGGATCTTCTCACCCTCCACATCGCTGTCCTGTACCCCAGCTCTTGTATGCATAAATAAATAAATTTTTATAAAATAAAACAATAAAAATAAAAGACTTGGTTCAAATACCTTCTTTTCAGTGAAACCTTTACATCTCTTAATGATCTCTTCTATCTCTGAACTTCAAGTACTTAGTGTTTTCACCATTGAACTAGATTGTTGTACTCTACTTTGTGGCATCTTTGTACTTTTGCAATTTCATGAATAATTTTTCATGTGCCTTGTTTGTCTCACTAAATTGTTCTTTTGAGGGTTATGTTTAAATTAGGATCTTTGAAACCAGTTGCATATAGGGATGAATTTCTTCAAATTTGTTAAAATATCTTATACTCAGAAAATGCTTTAGATATGATTAAAGTGAAACAAAAGGAGGAGATGTAGCGTATCATCATTTTTCACCTCCCCTAAATGTGTTGATACTATAAATTTTCCTTAACCAGATATTTAATTCAAAGCTTTTTACATCTTTTCTAGACCACACAATGGTGAGTGAGGAGAAGATATCTTTAAGAAGACGCCTAGCAAAACCCAATGATGAAAATACTGAAGAAAATGAAGATCAGAGATATCCTACAAAGGAGTCCTTAGAGAGACCTCATAATGGTGAGACTTAATTTTTTAAAGTGTTTTAATAGAGAACAAATCAGCGTTGAAAATAAGAATTACTATCTCATTAACTCGCTTTATTATAAAAATTGGGTATCCTGGTAGGCACTATAAAGTACAGAAGAGAAAAACAAATTGATAGAGACTAGAAACAGTTCAGTTTAAAGGCCATTCACAGCCACCTTGTTATACTACTGCACATGTGGATAGAGGTCAGCTTTATTGATGAAAGCAGAGTTTGCAATATGTACTTAGGATTTACATGTCATAGATTTTGAAAAAAAAAATTTATATATATTTTACATCATTGTTCAGTTTTATACAATGTTTGCTTTCTTTTCTCAGGTGTAGTCCCCATAGAATTCCCACCACCAATTTACCCGTGCACCATCACCATAGTCCCTTGTGCTCTTCCTGCCTTTATTTTGATCCCTATCCCTCTCCCTTCCCTTCCCCTGCAGAATGCTTCTGATTTATAGTTGCCTGTTAATTTTGTTTTGTTTTTTATTGTCATTTTTTTCCCCTGATCCCTTATTTGGTTCCCGTGTAGTCCTCCTATAAGTGAAACCATCTGATATTTTTCTTTTTCCTTCTGACTTACTTCACTGATATTTTTATATAGCATATATTTTTATATAGCTAGTGACAGAACAAAAAAGAAATTAGATAATAGGCCCTTTCTTGTTAATTCACTGAACCTTTTTTTTTAAAATATATTTGCTATGTATTATATACCAGTTATTTGTTTCTTCAATCACCAGTATTTATTGATGCCCTGCTAGGAGCTGGGGCTTATAGTAGTGATCATTGCAGGTGTGTTTGCCTTCATGGCTCTCCAAGGTAAGTGAATAAGCAATTTTCCCTGCTCCCCTTAGCTGAGTTGAATTATTACAGATAAGTGCTACTATTTAATCTCAATAAAGGAATGAGCACAATGAGAATTATTGGCAGAGTGCCCAACCTAGTTCAGTACTAGACTGTAACTCTCTGGGAGAGAGAGGTAGGAGTTTTATTAGTTCTTACTTCTAAGTTTGCTTAATACATGAATACAAAGAAGAGTGTGACGCAGTACTTTTTGCGAAGGTCAAGGTTTATACTTAAGATTGATAGACTTGTAAACATAATTCCAGTTGATGTCATCTGTTGCATCAGGGTATTTATTTTTGCGGTGACATTTGTATACGTTTGATTGTGACAAGGATTTAAGGTTTGTTTGGTTAACAAAAGGGATGCAACATTCTGAGACAGATTGTCTTTGACATCTGAGACTTCTTTCATAAAGAAACATCCTTTTGTTTTTCTTACTTTAATTGTAAATAAAAGCAGCTGGATTTAAGGACTGGATGATAATCCATGTTGTCTGTTTTAGAAAACAGAAAAGTTACTTTATATTAAAACTTTCTCTAGATAAAATTTTCTGTCCCAGTTTTTAAAGGCTATTAAATTACACTAATTTCTGTATATTCTTAACTTGGTCTTAGCCAAAAGGCCAAGAAGTGATCTCTATATATTTCTTTCTTTTTTTTTTTTTAAAGATTTATTTATTTATTATTTATACAAGCACTGGGTACAGTCAGAAGCGCGGGAGGGTGAGAGAATTCACCAGAGCCAGAGTGGGGAGCAGAGCAGGCAGAAGGACTGAAGTACACTGCTGAGGGGAGCAGCGGGCGGCAGGAGAGGTCTGTGCGCCATGTGGGACCCTCGCCCAGTGGCTGGGTATCGAACCAGCGCTGCAGAGGCTGCGGGCAGCTTCGCAACCCAGCGCTCAACTGCTGCGCCACCGGGGAGGCCCTCTATATATTTCTTAGTATTCATTTTCTTATTTCATTAAGTTAGTTTTATTTTTAAGATTTATTTATTTATGCATACAAGAGCTAGGGTATAGGCTAGAGGTGTGGGGGGGTGAGAGGATTCATCAGAGTGGGGAACAGAACAGGCAGATTGAAATACACTGCTGAGGGGAGCAAAGAGAGAGTCATGAGAGGTCTGCTGTGCCATGTTGGTAGCTCCCTGGCCGGGGATCAAACTCATGCTGCAGCAATTCCAGATACTTTCATAGGTTGCATCTTAACCCTTTGCGCCACCAAGGATACCCTAGTTCATTAAGTTTTAAACCTGGAGTGGTTTTAGCACAGTTATTAAAAATTGAATTATTTAGCTTAAGTAAAAAAGCCTGACTTCCTGTTGGGTTTTATGTAAGTAAAGATGATCTGAAAAATAAAAGAAATTTCTTTATTTACTTTAGTATTTGTTCATTCACTTTGGGGAATAAGCAGATGGATCATTTGTGGCCTTTGTGGGGCAAAGACTTAAAGGACATAAACCATGCTAGCTGTATGGCCAACCAGCCAGGACCAGGGCCATCTGCACCACCTGGGATCTTGTTAGAAATGCTGCACCTCATTTATTGAATAAAAATTTCATAATAGATCCCCAGGTGATTCATGTGCCAGTTACAGTTGAGACACAACTCTCAGTGGCAGTTCTTAGTATGTGTTACTGAGCATCTTCTGGAGAGACAGAGCAATAGGATATCTCAGTCTCCAAGGATTTTTTTTTTTTCATTAAACTCAACTTGTGTGATTCTTGAATTCTTGTTTTGTGGATCATAATTACAGTAATCTATGGGTGGGATGACTTTATGTCCTAACCTCAAGTGTATGTGTATACATGTGTGTGTCAGAATTTTCTCACCCATACTTTAACCCTGCGCACAAATATCAACTCAAGTGGATTAAAGATAATAAATGTGACATCTGAAAGTATTAAATTCCTGAAAAAAATCCTAGGGAAAAAGCTTCATAACATTGAGTTTTCAATGATTTCTTGAATATGACAGTAAATGCATAGAAAACAATGGCAAAATTACCCAAGTTGGACTACATCAAACTAAAAAACATCTGCATGGCAAAAGGAAAAATCAAGAGAGTGAAAAAACAACTTAGAGTGTGGGAGAAAATATTTATAAAGCACTTATCTCTTGAGGGATTAATATCCAAAAATATAAGGAACCTCTACAATTCAATTGCAGAAAAACAAACTTATTTAAAAATGGGCAAAGGACTTGAATAGACATTTCTCCAAAGAGGACAAACATGGTCAACAAACGTGAAAATGTGCTCACCATCACTGATTAATCATTAGGGCAATGCAAATCAGAGTCACAACGAGATAAAACTTTATATCTGTTAGGATGGTTATTTTAAAAAACAAAAGAAAAACAAAAAATATAACAAGCTTTGGTGAGGGTACAGTGAAATTAAAACCCTTTTTACACCATTGGTGGAAATGTAAATGGTACATCAGCTTTGGAAATTATTACGATGGTCCCTCAAAATATTAGACACAGAATTATCATATGATCTACCTGTCCTAAATCTGTTGTCCATAGGCAGATACATGGATAAAGAAAATGCAGCATATGTACAATGGTATATTACTCTGTCTTAAAGTAGAAGAAAATCCTGCTATATGTGACAATGTGAATGGACTAGGTGACATATTAAATGAAATAAGATAGTCACAGAAGGACTAATACTACATGAGTCCACTTACAGAAGATATCAATAGTCAAAGTCATAGAAACACAGTAGAGTGATGGCTACTAGAGGACAAGGGAAATGGGGAATTATTGTTCAAAGAGAATAAAGTTAGTTATGCAACATGAGTAAGTTCTGAAGATTGCTATACCACCTGTGTCTATAGTTAACACCTGTACTGTATACTTAACTTGAGGTCTACCCTCAACATATTTTTAATATTCTTACCACAATAAAGAAACTTGAGGTTTTCCTTCTTGCCACTTCATTGATTATAGTCTTTGCACAGAAAATTGTAAGTGTGATATGATCCCATTTATTTATTTTTGCTTTTGTGGTATGTGCTTTTGGTGTCATATCCAGAAAATCATGGCCAAACCAGTGTCATAAAGCTTTGTTTTCTTTTTAGGAGCTTTATAGTTTTGGGTCTTAACATTTAGATCTGTAATCCATTTGAAGTTTATTTTTGTATGCGATATGAGATGAGAGCTCAGGTTCATTCTTTTGCATTGGATATGCACATCAGTTTCAGGAGTGTTATCTGTGATAGCCCAAGAAATGCCCTTTCCCCCCAAAATTCCTAAAACCTGGACCTGTGAATTTTACTTTATACATTGATAATAGTGAGAAATTGGACTTTGTAGATATAATTAAGTTAGGAATCTTCAGATTATCTAAAATATTCACATAGGCCCTAAATATTGTCACATGTGTAGGAGGCAGAGGGAGATTTAACTTTACCTAGAGATGATCTGAAGATGGAACAGAGATAGATTTGTAGATACTTGAAGATTGGAATGCTATGACCACAAGCCAAGGAATGCTTGCAGCCCACCAATAGCTGAAGAGCAAAACCTAGATTCTACTTAGAGCCTCCAGAAAGAGTGCTGCTCTGCTTTGACACCTTAATTTTAGCTCATCTTTCAGAACAATGTGGGAATAAATATTTGTTGTTTAAAGCTATCACTTTGTGGTGATGTAACAAATTACAGCAGTCACAAGAAACTAATATGCCATCTTCATATAAAGGCTTTTAATCCATGATCATGGGATGTCTTTCTATTTATTTGGGTCTTCTGTAGTTTCTTTGAACCATATTTTATAGTTTTCAGAATAAAAGTTTTATACTTTTTTGTTAAAATATTTATAGATATTTTGTTCTGTTTGATACTATTGTATATGGAATTATTTTAATTTCATTTTCCAATTCTTGCTACTATATAGAAATGTGGCTTGATTTTTGTACATTCATATTGTATACTGCAGTCTTGCTGAATTCATTTATTAGTGCTAATAATTTTTATGTGGTTCTTATAGTGTTTTTTATATTACAAAATCAAGCCATCTGCAGTTGAAAGTGAGTTTTACTTCTTAATTTCTAATATAATACCTCTTACTGCCTTTCATTTCATTTTCTTGCCTAACTATTTGGTAGAATTCCAATAAAAAATTGAATAA